AAAGAGGGGAGAGGCACAATGGACACGAAGAAAAGAGGGAAGAGGCACAACAGGGACACAAAGAAAAGAGGGGAGAGGCACAATGGACACGAAGAAAAGAGGGAAGAGGCACAACAGGGACACAAAGAAAAGAGGGGAGAGGCACAATGGACACGAAGAAAAGAGGGAAGAGGCACAACAGGGACACAAAGAAAAGAGGGGAGAGGCACAATGGACACGAAGAAAAGAGGGAAGAGGCACAACAGGGAGACGAAGAAAAGAGGGAAGAGAAAAAAGGGAAGAGGCACAATAGGGATACAAAGAAAAGAGGCACAAAAAGACGAAGAAAAGAGGGAAGAGAAAAAAGGGAAGAGGCACAATAGGGATACAAAGAAAAGAGGCACAAAAAGACGAAGAAAAGAGGGAAGAGAAAAAAGGGAAGAGGCACAATAGGGATACGAAGAAAAGAGGCACAAAAAGATGAAGAAAAGAGGGAAGAGGCACAATAGCGACACGGAAAGGGGGAAGAGGCACAACAGGGACATGAAGAGAAGAGGCACAAGGACACGAAGAAAAGGGAAGAGGCACAAGGATGCAAAGAAAAGAGGGAAGAGGCACACCAGGGACACGAAGAGAGAGCAGCAATCTAGGTGAAGGCAAATGGAGAGTGCCTTATGGGAACACAGGCAGCAACTACCTTTACCTGAAACTTAGAGATGCCAAATCCAAAGTTGCGTCACCAAACATGGCATCGTTTGGGTCTCACGGCTTCATAGCGAAGACCTTGTGGGCCAATCCGTAAAGGTTTGAGCGAACATCCCGCTTTGAACGAGGAAAATTCCCAGGCCTTCCCAGCTGGAAGGAAGTGGACTTGGGTTGAAGGTGGCTTTGTTTATCATGGATTGAGCAAGTCGGCATCTTCACCGTCCTATTTGTAGGAAGGCAGCTTTACCCGAAGGTCCTTTTTCCATGGGTCACTGCTCAGACCCTGGCATCCATACACAAACACACACCCACACCCAGATACTCCCACGGAAAGACGCAGAAGGACCTCTGCTCAAATACAGGCAAAGGAGGTGGAAGGCTGCTGTGAAAAATACACTAATGCCCTCGGTTAGATCTTCCAGAGTCAACTCGGTTTCTTGAATTCAAGTTCGATTCTCGATTTTCCGGGGAAACCGCCCTCTGAATAGTTTACTCTTGTTTGCTGTGCTTCGGTATACAACGAAGCAGGACGAAGGGCAGCAGGAATAGAGAGGCACAAATGGTGAAGCAAACTTCAGCTCCGGCCAGCCAGTAAACTGCAAAGCCAAAAGCCAATTTTAAGGACATTGGAGCAAATTTCCCCAGTGGTGCCAGGAGCAGCCCCTGTTCTGACCTCGGCTTCCCCAAAAAAGCACGAGGCAGAATCCTGGTCCCGACAAAACCCCTTTTATTAAACGAATATGAATTCCTCTCCTTCACCTTCAGCCAAGGCCTGGCAAACAGTCTTTCAAAAGAATATTTATGACCACAGACCTTATCTGTCTTGGAAAGCTGCCATGGGAATATTTCCCAAATGAGATGCTGTGCAAGGAAAGACTGAGCACAGAGTCTCTGAGATTCAGGGACAGATCTTCACACTCCTGAAATGAATCTAACGACCGACTGACCGAATT